TGCCGCCCTCTAAATTTGCCGCCCTAAGTAGGTGCCTATTTGTAAATCCAGGGTTTGCTATTGTAATCTTCCTAAAATCACAATTACTTGTTGAAATTTGAATAAGATTTTGAACAAATATGTTGTTTAAGTGAAATTAACATCATAGTTTAATAATATGACCTGTTCTGATTATTTATTGGCAACTTTTCTTAATTATAAGCTTTTTCTTGGTTAAAATTCTAATACTTTTTGTGAAAAATGGATTAAGTTTGTTAATAGAAAAAATTGGTTTCCTACAGAACATTCAGGTGTTTGTAGTGCACACTTTGATCCAAAATTTCTAAAGCACGGTGTTAGAATGACTCTTGTTTATGATCTTCATCCAATACCAACTATTTATTCAAATGATGCAATAAAAAAAATTCCACCTTCTCTGTTATTATCTGTTCCAGGTCCATCAAGAAAATCTCCAACTAAATGCGTCACAAGCATTCAAGATGAATCAGATATTTTTATCGAAAAAGATTCTATCAAAGACCTAGAAATGTTAGATTCATCTTCAAGTCCTGTTGGCTTTATTTTTCAAAAATATGACTCCAATGTTTTATATTATCGTATTTTTAATGTGACATCTATTGATAATGCTCCCTGTATTGAATCAATACAAGTTGATTCTACTTTGCATGTAAAGTTGCATCACAATGGATGTCAAATTCCTCTTCCAAAGTGATTTAAGCAAAACCAATATTTACTTAAAAATATTAGCATATTAGAAAACCTTGCATCATATATGCGTATTTTTGTTGCAGAAAAAAAAAATACTATTTTAGATGAAATTCATAGTACCCAATATTATAAACGAAAGGCAGGAAACCATATTCATCTGAAGTTCTTTGTTTTTCATTATTGCAACGCTATACTTCAAAGCAAGCATACATTCAAATACAAGAAAAAATACCTTTACCGTCATTGTCAGTTTTAAAAAAATTAGCAGCTGGAGGAACCCTTAAAAGCTATTAAGTTACTTTTGGAGGAAGGAAAAGTAGACCCAGACTGTATTTTAATGTTGGATGAAATGTATTTACAGAAATGTAGTGAGTATAGTGGCGGTAAATATGTTGGTTTGGATAAAAATTGTAACTTTTTCAAAAGTATCCTTGTTTTTATGATTGTGAGTTTAAAAAAATCTATCCCTTATGTCATAAAGTCTTGTCCACAAACAAAAATAAATGGAGATACAGTTTTCCTTGAAATTAAAGAAAGTTTGTCTGTTTTGAAATTAGCAGGATTTAATGTACGTTCAATAGTTGCAGACAATCATTCGACAAATGCATTAGGATATGGACAGTTGATTAAATGCTTCAGGAACTGGTAAATCTGAAGATCATTTTATTGTGTACGAAGAAAAAAAAATTTACCTTATGTATGATAGTGTTTATCTCTTAAAAAATATTCGAAATAATCTACTTAATTCTAAGCAATTTATATTCCCTGTTTTCCATTTCGATGGACTTTATGATCCTATTTCATTATTGTTACTGCTGGTGAAATATCTTGGCATCTTCTCCATAAAACTTACGAAAAGGATGAAAAACTTAGTGCTAATTTACGTAAGGCACATAAACTCACATTTCAAACTTTACATCCAGGAAATGATAAGCAAAGTGTTCCTCTTGCTTTGAATGTTTTTCATGAAACAACGTCAGCTGCCATTAAAAGTTATTTTCCACAAGATTTATCTGCAGCTGAATTTTAACACCTTATTAATAGTTAGTGATTAATATCAAATTTAAAGTCAAAATATTCAAATAACTATATTGGTTATGCAGTTGTGAGGGAAGATAAAAAACCTGAATTCTTACGTTGTTTTTCGAAGTGGATTAATGAATGGCAAATAAAGCAGTTAAAGGAGTGTGGAAAGTTTACTCTTAGCAAGCAAACAGCAAATGCTATGATAAAAACATTAAAAAGTTCTGCTGATTTTGTGTTTCATGATTTACTCAATGAAGGTTATACTAACATTTTAACAAGTCGTTTCCAAAGTGACCCTCTAGAACGTTGATTTTCAAAATATAGACAAATGAGTGGAGGTCATTTTCTTGTTGGTTTACGTGAAGTTGAATCTTTTGAGAAAATACTTCAAATTAAATCTCTAATGAAAGAAGATATAAATTACTGGGATTTAAATCTTAAACCAGAGACCAGATCTTTCATGTGAAATCGATTTTGAAAATGATTTTGAAGAGATTGATTTAGACGATAACAGCAAGGAGGTGGCAACCTACATTGCAGGATTTATTATGAAAAAAATCTCTAAGAAATTTGAATGAATGTTTATATTACTTTAAATAAAAAAGAATTTTAAACAGTTGTTTATTTGTTTTAACAATTTCTATTTTTATTATTCTAGCATTTTCTATGAAAACTCAATAATTACAAAAAAAAAAAAAAAACTGGCCTCCTAATTTTTTCCCATAAAAACCAACAAACCTGGCCGTGTATTTATAGTAGGCCATGAGTGGCATATAATAACTAACTAAAAAAAAACAACAGAAAAACATCTAATAAAAAACAAAAGTTGTGGAGATCGGTATAGTAATAATACTAGGCAGTATCAAGTAAAAAGATATTCTGAGAAATTTGATAAAAAGAATCAAGGTGGTGGTTGGTACTTACCACACTTTTTAATTCTTTGTCCCGATAAACTAACTACGAAAGTCAGAATTGTGTTTGATGGATCTGCAAAATACAATGGCAAATCAATTAATGTTGTTCATCAAGGGGCCAAAACTTCAACACAACCTTGTGAGTGTTTTACCTTGATTTCCTGTGATATAGCAGAAATGTATTTAATAATTAGAATACATTAGGATAATCGAAGATAATAATCAGAATACATTAGGATGATCGAAAATAAACAATTTTTTGTGGAGAAATCTGGATTTAACTGCATGTTACAGCGTTTCACAGAAATGGGCATTATTGCACACCATTATATGACCAGGCAAATAACATTTTGGTTTGACAATTTGACCACGACTATTTCAAAAAACATTGCAAAAATTGTATTTTATACCTAAGATATACTTGTGAAATGCTTTTAAATAAAGTAACCTTTTACTGATTTTTGTTTAAAGTATTATTGACAGTTGTATATAATTTTTTAAATTTATATTATATAAATTATTTAATTATGCATTTTTTATAACAAACGTTATCAAAAATTAAGAAACTAATTTGTCTTTATAAACAAATTAATTAAACTTTCTTAGACAACTTAAGAGCAACTTTCTGTAAGAATCAGCCAAAAACACTAAATTTTTAGAGTAATTTTTTTCAAAATCGTATTACAAGACATTTCTTATGGTATTTTCAAAATAAAGTATGACAGCGGTGATGTTAAAACTGTTGCTAGTGTTATTTTAAGAGCAGAAAACAGTCACACCATTACTTTATGTAGGGAAAGTTACAAAGAAATTGTGTACAAGCCGGTTTAAATGACACGTCTGCTGCTGGTGGGATGAATGCATTTGCAACACTTGAACAATTGATCAATGTATATTTAATCAATTAGTATACAGAAGAGGATTACCATTAGCAATTTTGATGGACAATCAAACAAATTTTGTTGGACAATCTTGTGAACTAAAAGAACTTATCAACAACTCAGATAAAAAGTAAAATTACCAGCTCTACAGGTAATTAATAAATTAAATGGCACTTGAATGCTCTATAAAGACCTTATTTAATGGTGTATTTGAAATATTGATTAAGGTAGCAAAAAGCACAGCAACTTGAAAAAGCTGTTAATGTTACTGATAAAAAACTATATACTGCGTTGCTGAGAGTTTATTGAATTCTCAACCATTAACTTATATAAAGATGATGCTCCACTGACTCTAAACCATTTTTTAACTGGGCAATTTGATAGACAACTTGCACCTGAACCAATTTAACTTAAAAACTATCATTATAAAAAAGTTGACATTAAGTGCATAAAACAGCAGGTTATATCTGAAAAAGCTGGATGCAAGAATAGCTTTCTTTCTGATCAAAATGGTATAAATGGAATCAAGAAAAAAACCAAATAAAAATAGATGATTTTATATTAGTAATTTCTACAGATTAACCCAGAGGAAATTTTGTGCTGGTTAGAGTTACAGAATTATTTGTTACTGTTGCAAAAATTAAATAGGCAACAAATAATTTATAGGACCAATAATTAGACTGTTTCTACTAAAGTTTGATATACAAAAAGTTTTATAGACTGGAGTGTATCAAAAAGGGGGAGAATGATCAGAAGAAATTATTATGTTATTTTTATACACAAGTTACTTGCGGTAACTTCTGCATTCTATACCACAATTAAAAAGAACCAGATAGTCAGCAATTGATAATAAAAGATTTATTTTATCACCTAATGTGTTTATCTTAATGATTTGACATTTTTCTATAAATATTAAATAAATAATATGTTGACTTAAAAATAAGTCAAGAAAGATATTTAAATAAAGTAATAATATGCAACCAGTATTATTTTTTGATTGTCATTGACTCACCAGCCATTTTCATAAATCAAAAATAAAACTGCAAGCGTTAAATGGTTGCAAGGTTTTATGAAAAGACAACCATAGTTGCTTCAAAATTGTCTCAAATCAACAGGTTTGTTGACATTATGTCACAAACTAAAACATGCATTATTTGGGTAGTATATAGCTGCCATATTTATATAGATACAATTGAGGTCATAGTTTTAGTTAAAATATATAATGGATTAGATTTTACTGCAACTTTATCAAATAAATTAACTTTTACAAAAATATATTTCTAAAATATCTCATAAAATATCAATAAAACTCATAATGCTAATAACGGAGATAGGTTGGATAAAATAATAGGTAATAATGATGACAATGATGATGATAATGATGATGATGATGATGATGATGATGATGATGATGATGATGATGATGATGATGATGATGATGATGATGATGATAAAAGGGAGAAAGGCTTACCTGAAACTTAAATGCATCTGCTTTAGTTAATGCTTCAGTACCTGTATTATTCATTTGAAACAAAGTAAAACATACTCCAAATACAATAAGGTTTGAAAGTACGGTAAAAAAGTACCTAAAAATATGGAAAACATAATATTATAACTATATTTATATACATATATAATATATATATATATATATATATATATATATATATATATATATATATATATATATATATATATATATATATATATATATATAATATATATATATATATATATATATATATATATATATATATATATATATATATATATATATATATATGTGTGTATGTATAATAATACATATGTATATACATTATATATATAATATATATATATATATATACAATATATATATATATATATATATATATATATATATATATATATATATATATATATAAATATATATATATATATATATATATTATATAAATATATATATATATATATGTAATAAATATTACAATAATATATATATTATATATATATATATATATATATATATATATATATATATACACACATTTGTGATCTCATGGTAGAAAAGAAACCAGATAGGGGGGAATGAGTTAATCATACTACACAAACTTAAAACATTAAACTGAACAAAATGACACCAAGATCTTTAAATTAGCTCAACTGTATCTAAAGTTATGATTTTTTATATTCTTAAGTTAAAAAACGGCAAAACTATTTTACAAAACTTTTTTACTTTCAAAACTATTTTACAAGTGATTATCAGAGTCTTGTTTTCCTGTTTGCTAGAAAAGGGCATCTGTTATCCCTATTTTTGAAAATTCTAGAGAGTGGTCTAACCAGGGTTGGAAAAAACCCAATAGTTATTTAAAAAAAACCCAACCCAAATGGGTTTTTTGGGTTTTTTTAAAAACCGATCAAAATACCAAATTTTTATAATTGTATAAGTACAATAATTTTTTTTTTAATTTCATAAATTCACCTTCCTATGCTTCAGTGACCACTTCAGTCAAGGGAGCAACTCATTTTTTAAAAATATTTTTTCTCGATCCTTAACATTACCACTTTTACTATCAAAAAACATTAACAACTAAAATTTTTAAACAAAGGCACTGTGCGGAGAAATAGATTGAGTACAGTAATTTCAGCAGAGGTAATTTGAACCCCAACCTTCTGACTGCAAGCCAAATGTTTTAATACTAGTCTACTAGCACGTTTTACCTAGAGTGCAAAAGGGGACTCCATAAAACTATAAATGATGTTAATTAATTGCAGTAAATTAAAAACATGTTCAGAATATTTTTGACTAAAAAAAAATCACTATAAAAATTATAATGACAATTGAGTTATTCAAAGTTAGTAAGACAATATAAATGTTGCAAACTAGTTTTTTTTACTAACATATTCAACATATCATTTCAAAAACTACTTTGCACAAGCTTACAACATGTAATCAACAAGTTTGCACCATGATGTTGCAACCGTGTAAATTATTGTCAATCACTTTTTAAACATTTTTGCATCATAGAAGAAAACTGTTAGCCTAATCACTACATTTTTTTTTTTATCAGAACATTATACTGTTCAGCTCCTGGAAAAACTATCGGCCTAATCAACTGAGCTTAGGCAACAAATGGATTTTTGCCTAAGCTTTGGTTGTTCTTAAAATATCTAAAATGAAGTTGTTAAGAATCATTACAGTGTCTTCACCACCAGATTCTTTTTTTTTTCCATGAAGATGTTTTACCGGCTCAGTTTTGGAAATGAATCAAAGTAACACATTATATAGCTTTATTGTGTGTGTTTCTTCACCTTTTAGCAACTTGATACTGATGTTCATTTTCAACCCACTGTTCATAGTTACCCCTGTTGGTGGTACATGTTGTAAACTTGTAGCAGATACAAAATATTCATTTGCACTTAATAAGGACAAGTCTAGTAAACTGTAGCATTTTTTTTGCCTGACAATTTTCCATTTCTAAACTGTAAATAAAGTTTAATAATTTTTATATATAAGATTTTGCTTGTGGCTTTGTACTGAAATTTGCAGTTTACAACATAAGCTTTAAAAAATAAAAGATCAAATATCAATATAAAATGACATATATAAAATGCTTGTTAGGAAATATTTTCAAGATAGGAGAGTAAAGATACTAAATAACTAGTAATATCTTGAAATTTAGTTAATAGAATGATTTTTATTTCCTTTATAAGTATTTAACTAATTTAATTTTTTAATACATATTTCAATAACATTTATAATAACTTGCTATTTTTTTTAAAAAAATAATAAATAACCAACTTGCTACAAAAACAGATTAATCGGTTTTGGGATATATTCTAAATACCATTATGTGTATAAATGCAGTGTTTAGAAGAGTAATTACAATATAGAAGTTGCATTTGCTGATAATAAAGCATTTATAAGTGTTAAAATCGGAGTTATCAGTTGTAAAATAGGACATTTTTAAAAAAACCCAAATATATTTTGGGTTTTATTGGGTCTTTTTAACGCGGGTTTTTTGGGTTGGGTTTTTTTGCCAACCCTGGGTCTAACTACCTTTTCATTAGTCTTCTCATCATAAGCAAGGTTTTTGAGTCTTTAATTAACAAACACTCAATCTCTCATATTGATTCTAATAACTTACTTTCTGATCATCAATATGCATTTCAATCTGCTCGTTCTACTACCTATTTATTAACAGTAATAATAGATGTGGAAATCATCAATATAAATTTCATTTTATTGTACATTAGATAGATGTGGAGAGGCTAAGGCTATCACTCTTGACATTTCTAAAGCTTTTGATATAGTTTGGCATGCTGGTCTTTTCCATAAGCTCTCTTCTTAAGCTTTTTCAGGTAACATTATTGAATCCTTCTTTTCCAATCGTAGAATAAAAGTTGTCCTTAATGGACAGCACTCTTCTTTATCTCCTGTATCTTCTGGGGTTCCTAAAGGTCATTGGCCCTATACTCTTTTTAATTTAAATTAATGACTTCCCAGATATTCTCACATCTAAGGTAACATTGTTCGCTGATAATACTACCATTTATACTTGGTGTGAATCAGTTCAAAAGAACTTGTAAATCAAGGGAAATTAAGAACTTTTGAATCTCAGGTAAAAAATGTCTCATTCTTCAAATCAGTTCGAATATCAGAAAAGCTCATGATTACAAAAATGTTGTTCATTCTCCAATATTTAAACTACCTGGAGAAACTTTGGTTTAGAAGTTTCTTCCTCCAATGGAATTGGATCTCCTAGTTGGGATTTTTAATCATCTTTTTACTACACGACCTCATGTTTTTCCTTGAGCAACTCTTTGGGCTAAGGCATTACACATTAAACAACAACCTTACCATGGTGGACATTTTGCAGTAAATGAGTTGCAATGTTGCATTGTTGACTTCAATAGTAAACATTGTTTGTGAAAAGTCATTTAAAGAAGGAATTTATAAAGGAATTATTTATGAATTTGTTCCATTTTAAAGAAACAGTTTTTTATTAATGAAACATCAAAAAAAATTTAAGCTCCCAAATCCAAACGGTTCAAAAGTTATGACATTTTGAAATTCAGTCTAAAACTTTTTTACCAAATCTGCCATTATGGATTTTTTAGAAGTACTTTTTAATGAATAATTTAAGATCTAGTCAAAGAATGGGGCTAAAAATTGATATCTGACCATTTTTGAGGGTGTTGAATTCAAAAATGTAGAAAAAATAATAAATTTAAATTTTTTAATAGTTAATTTTTGATTGGTCAGTAAAAATTTTTGTTCTTTTAAGAAATAAGTAAAATATAAACTAGTGGTGTACCCTCGTGGTACACCACTGGTTTATATTTTACTTATTTCTGGAGTTGCCTTACTCTAAATGTAAAATAAGTGGTCTTAGAAAAGAAAAGGTCTCTGAAAGAAATAAAAAAATTGCATATTTATATATACCAAAAATTATATATATATATATATATATATATATATATATATATATATATATATATATATATATATATATATATATATATATATATATATATATATATATATATATATATATATATATATATATATATATAAATATATTAGGGCTGTACCGGATTTAATTTTTTTAAATCCGGCCGGAGCCGGATTTGCCGGATTTCTACTGACAGATCCGGCCGGAATTGGAGCAAGAGCCGGATTTCAAAACAAAACTACAGGAGCCAAAATCCTGTACATCCCTAATTGGTGTTGAGCATGGTCAACAATGTGGACTATTCAGAATACCAAGTGACTGCTGTTTTCTGTTAAACTTCATTGTTGTTATTTAAAAAGTTTTATAGCAATTTCTATATATAAATTAATAGAAATTCTAAAGAAATTCTATAGGCCATATGTTTTAAAAGTTTATAGTAATACTATTTAACTTTTTTTCCGGGATTTTGTCACTCCGCCACTGTAGTGGATCATTGTGTCTATTTATTTCTGGTTCTTTCGGATATTTCCTTAGCTGAGTTTCAATGCCTTTTAGTAATTGTTGTTTATGTGCCCTGCCACCAGCGGACGTAGACTGAATAATTTTATCAATAAATTGCCAGAGTAATGATGATGATGATGTAAAAAAATTATTAAGCCCGGCTTATTTTGGTGGATTTTCTTCAGTTTTGTCAATCTTCTGTTCAGCATGCTCAGATTGACTTCAATCTTGTTTTTTCAGCTGTCAGTGTTGCCTGTAATGAGGAGAATTTAGTTTTAAATTGTGAGTCAACCAGCCTCGTCAGTATATAAAGAGGTTTCTCTTTTCAATGCTTTTAAAACGCTCATCCAATCACTTGATTAGGGTTGACATCATAGTCTTTATACCTGCATCATTCTAGAATATCGTGTGTCTACCCTTCAGAATTTTTTGTTGCGTTGTTGTTTTAAATTAGACTTAGCTTATTAAATTATAAAGAAATATAAATACAAATACCAAAACAAATATGAGGTTCATAAAATATAGAATTACAAAAAAAATTGATTTTTATAAATAAAATATTAGGTATACATGTAAACACGGGCAAAAAAAATGTAATAAATATTTGACAAAATTCAAAACTCCGGCTAAAATTATGCCGGATTTGCTAA